AGGAAGCATGAAGTGCTCCAAAATTTCTTGGTAAACGGGTGCAGTGACGTTGGTTTTCAAAAAACACAATGGACCAACACCAGCAGATGACATTGCACCCCAAATCATCACAGATTGTGGAAACTTAACACTGTACTTCAAGCAACTTGGGCTATGATTATATATATATATATACTGTATATATATATATATATATATATATATATACACACTGGTAATTGCCTCTGTTTACCAGATTGGTCTGAGTCACGAACAAACTGTCCAGCCTAATTTGCAAACCAGTCCATTAAAAAAAAAAAATGACAGAACCAAAAGAACAATTTTTCCATGAATCTTGCATCCCTAGTAGTTTATTATTTTTCTAAACACTCTCTCTTGTCTGATGCACGCACCTGGAGGCGGTAAAGATCTGTTTGGAATTGGTGCAGATGGCATTGATCGGGCTCTCATGGCCCTTAATCTCTCCGATGGGGGTGAAGTTGTCCACATTCCACACCTTGAGCATTCCCCCCCTGCAGGCGCTGAGGAGCATGGGCCGCCCGGGAACAAACGCCAGAGCACACACCCAATCCTTGTGCGCGTTTGGGATTTGCTGTGGAGAAACAAGTATCGTTCTAGTTTTAGAACACCTCCGATCTACAAACTGCACCATTTTCGGTGTCAACCGTGTCAGCGGTACAAGCAGTGCATGAAGTTTAATTCTGCAGTTTCGGGGTTGACCTCTAACCCTTACTCTAAGCAAAAAAATTAGTAGTAAAGCACCAGTAATAATAAAACTACAAATGAGTTCGACAAACAAGCCAAATTAACATTTTATTAAAAACAAACCTCAGAGTAATAAAAACATATATGCTATGAAAGAAATGAAACATTCATGAAGCTCTATATATCACGTGAAGAATTTCCAGCAAGTTCCTGCTGATCCCGCCAACAGGCCTGTGGGGAAGCGGACGGAAATTCTCATAAAAGAGAGCAACCAAAGCACATTATCTTGGCAAATTTACTCAGTTGTGCAATCAAAGAGGGCAGGCGAGTAAGTCAAGTTTAGATGTTTAGATAAACTTGCTGTTTATACATTGGTAACTGCACTGGGATTCAAACGTCTTCCTTTTGAGGGAGAGAGGTAGCGTCTGCTGTCAGTCACTTAATATATAAAGATTTGGATGTGCACATACAGCTGTGATCTGATTTAACCCAGATATATGTGTTTCATAGATTGAGCGCTGAATAAATCTGCGTAACGAAAATAAAGATTGACATGAAGATATAGCTTTAAATCAAGATGTCTTTCACCTACAACTGACAAAAAAAAAAAAAAAAACTGGAAATGTTTACAGGTATAAGATCTCCATTCATCATCACACATTGATTTTCCTGGGGATGTCTGTGCTCGATTTTGGATTTCAGCATTAAAATGTGCTAAAATTATGACTATTACAATCAAATGTACCTGTGAAATGCATAATTCATATTTCCTTGATGTGCAGGAGACTCGTTTTGTCGAACCCATTTTTACATCATCTTATAATAGTCTTCCATTATTTTTGACCTTTTAGCTCTGGATAAATGTGTTCGGTATGTGTTCTTGTCTAATATAAGCAGCTGGAGAAACCATTACAATCAAACGTACTACTAAGAGCTTTCTCAGCTGTCAGACCATGGTGACGTCAACCAGCGCTGATAAATGAAGCCATCCTACATCTATTGACACAGGAACAATAGGTAAACGCTGGGTTATTCCCCTCTGAAACATCATTTGTCTGTATATATATTATTTATCAGTATTGGATATTGTATTTAATTTCACTGCTGTCAGTCATGTAAGCTGTCTTAACTTTAATGCACTTTAAACTCTTTAAAGCACTTTCTGCTTATCATTCACACAGTCCCCCTTTTTTTTATTTATAGTTCCTTAAATTAACAGTTAACTCCAAAAATCTACATTTCTCAGTCATAATTACATTTTGCCACATAAGGCTTTTTGCTTTCACATTATGATGATTGTACAGATGACAAATTAATAAATAACCATAAATGGTTAATGCATTATAAGCAGCGTGTAAATTATGGGCGGTATTCAGGGGTCCGATCCCCCCATCCCCCATGTGACATTATGACATAACACATTAACAAAAAACCAAAAGACGCTTACATGCAATAGTAATCTTCTAATTTTTACCTGAATAAGTTCATGCTGTCCCAGATCCCATTTCTTAATGCCATTGTCACGGGAACCACTGAACAGCACATCGCCATGTATAGCAAGGCACTCAATCCCATCGTAATGAGGGGGCTCGAAGTTATGAGCTGGTCCGATGTTACCCTGGGTTCCCTCCGCAACATCAAATATCTGCATTAAAGGGGTCATGAATTGAGAATGAATTTTGACATATACTGTAAGAGGTCATTGCAATTTAAAAACATACTGCAAGTTTCAGAGCTCAAACCTTTCTTGTTAGTTCAAAAAAGCTTTTATTGAAACCAAGCTTCCAAAACAACTTTTTCCTACAGGTTTTTATTACGCAATAGAGATGAATACATTAGCACAAGAATGCTGTATGATTGTTTTGATACGTAAGGACTTATGTGGTCAGCCGTTCTGTCTCACAATAATTTATTTCATATCGGCAAATCAAGCCATCGACTGAACAGTCATATGCACATTGTTCCTTTTAGTAGCATGAAAAACAACAGATTTTCAAATTGGGATTAAATATATACAGAAAGCGAACAAAGAACGATCCCTTTATAATCACTGAAGCTGTCGATCACTTTAGTTCAGTGCAGTTCTGCTCTCTCACCAAATCTGCATAATGAAACTCAAATTTGCATTGTGTCAGCACTTTTTTTGGTTAGTCAGCACTAAACAAAACTCCTACTGCATTCATGCATTCAAAACTAACTACAATGCCCAGTGCTGGAAAAACTAAAGTGTTAAAAGAAAATTTTGATGGAGTAAATGTACTGTAAACATAACACTTTACATTAGTTGAATGCAAATGCATAATAACATGCATGCTACTTATTTCATATGCAAAGATGTTGCAATTGTTCAAACCATAGTCAAAAACAAGGTAGAAAATGGCCATTTCTGCTTTTGATGTAAATATTTTCCTAAAATTATAAGCACAACATTGTACTCAATGTCAAATCTACATCCTAGCTGACTACATGAAGAAAAGAGAACTATATAAAAAAGGGAAATAAACTAAAATGGTTAAACGCACCTTCACGTAATGGTCTTTGGATCCAGTGATCACCTGATCCTTGCCTCCTCCAGAATAACCCACTGTAAGACACATGACTGACCCAATGTGTCCGGTCAGCTTCCCAGTGGCCTGCATTCTGCACACAAAGAATATAACAGAATATGCACATAGTGATGAACACTGTACAGCCAATTCACTTGGTAGGTTTATTAATTAATCAATAAATGACCATCAATAAATGCTAATACCAGTTGCACTCGACTTAGGAATGAACTATGCACCTGTTGAGGTCCCATGTGCGGACAGTGTTGCCTGCAGCAGCGTACAGCACGGATCCGGAGGGATTGAGGGCGATCTGGTTGATCTGGTACTCGCCCTGAGCTGTAGTGATAGTGCGAGTGGTTGTACTAGCACAGGCATCGCCTGAGACCACCTGACCCGATGACCTAAAGATGGACGAGTTGAAATTTTCATGTTAAACATAAAACTAGGTGCATTCAGATGCTACGGCTAAATGCTAATTGCATACGTTGAAAAAATACTCACGTGAACGTCCGGACGCACTTGGCAGAATCACGAATGTCCCAAACTTTGATATATGAAGTAGAAACTGTGAAGACAAGGCCGGAGTTGCTGCAGTATTTGACAGACACAACGTTGTTAGGATGTCCTCTCAGGGTCACGATTTCCTGTCCAGTCACCAAGTTCCACACCTTGCAGGTACGATCTGAATTCCAGGTATTAAACATTTTTTTATACTATACTGTTATACTATTCATGCACCGTGTGCATCCTTAAGCCTAAAGTAACAAGTGCACTTTAGGCATATTGGCAAAAGGTTAGACATGCTTAAAATTAGAGCCCGATCGATATATCGTTTTGCCGATTTTATCGGCCGATATGAGCCTGTCGCAGATATATCGGTATCAGCGAATATGCTGCCGATATGAACATTTTTTTTACAGAACATAAAACACAGATAAATAGACATGCTTAAAATTAGAGCCCGATCGATATATCGTTTTGCCGATTTTATCGGCCGATATGAGCCTGTCGCAGATATATCGGTATCGGCAAATATGCCGCCGATATGCCACTGATATGAAATTTTTTTTACAGAACATAAAACACAGATAAAATGCTTGTAAATGGTGTACTTACGTAGTTTGTCCAGCAGAGTGCGCTCCATTGTTTGCTACCTGGATGAGACGCTTTAAAGCTTAAGTGTATGGAATACCACTGAAATTTTGAACGGCCATATATCCGTAACGGCGCGGCGGATCCGCTCCAAATTCGGGGGATCCCTTCAGCTCGAGGAACCCTCTCGAACGCTGAATCGAGTGTACGTCTCGAGGCTCGCTTTCAAATGAGACCACCCCCGCGTCCATAGTCCCCGGCGTCCGGGAGTTACGGGCGATTAAATTCGCGGTCGGTCGCCAACCGATCAGGCGATCCTGGGGGGCTACCGACGCGCAGAGGGTGGCGTTCGAGAGGGGGCCTCGAGCTGAAGGGATCCCCCGAATTTCACTTCAGTAAGGAGGTCTCTTGTTCAGGCAGCAGCATTCAAGCGTTGTCTTATTCGACCGTTGTCTTATTGATCGTTGTCAAGTGCCCTGCGAAGTGGACTTCACATGATATTCCGCCATGATTCCAGTTCCAAGGGAACGTACACGTTACTTTCAAAGGGCATTAAAGTGCGCGAGACCTGAATTTATATTGTATTTATTTACAGAGGTATATTATGTCACACTTCACACTTCTCTAGTAGCGCAAATCCGTGAATGAATGTTCCGAAGTTGAATGGAATTGAATTGCAATAAAGTTGAATAAACTTCAACTTTACTGTTCAGTGCACTGATGTCAGACTCATTTTGGATAATAAAGTTTATTGTTTAATTGTTAAATGCCCTGCCTCCATTACATATCTTTGTCACATCATTATAATTGTTTTATAATTTATAATTTAATTAGGTTTAGAAATTAATTTTATCAATGTATTAACGAACAACACCAACATAAACACAAAAACATCATTTGCAAAATGCAAAAGTGCAAAACATGCAATTATGATTGCAGTGTCTAAATGAATAATAACTGAAGCACTGTGAGTAATATATGAAGCTGCACAAGATTTCTGTTGAGCTGCCCACAGTTAGCCATCTTTATAGCAGTGGGCTGATGAATAGCTCAATAAAGCATGCTGAAACTATGACCTCGAGAAAATGTAATTCAAATTGGCTCATGTTTGTGTGCTTATGGGTGTTTATGTTTTCCTCTCAAAGGTTCAGAGTGAAAAAATGTACCTTTGGAGCCAGTGAAAAGCAGCTCATCTGTGGCATCCAGGCAAAGCACAGGTTTGGTGTGTCCCTCGGCCATTGCCACACACTGCAACGGGGCCGTCCTGCCCCCCTTCAGCCCACCTGTGGGAGTGATTACACCCCTGCACAAAGACACATAGCATTTTAAAACACTGTTGTGAAGTGAGGAAGTCTCTGAGGTTAGTTGAGCAGGTGGAAAGGAGGATGTCACAACAAAGTTTTTTTGTGTTTAGATTCAACGTGTGCCATCTGTTTCATGCAGATGGACAAAAAAAGCATAACTACTATTTTTTGTATCAATGTGTGAAAGAACAACAGATTGAGGGAGAACAGAAAGGAAACAAAATCGAAATGGGAAGAAGTTATCCTGATATGATCCCAATCCATTAACCTAATTACAGGTAATTGTCAGGTTTGTGAAGTAAAACTGCCTGGGTCTGCTTAGGACCCCAAAGGGTAGCTATTAGTAATGGCAGGTTTAAAGCTATAAAGAATGCTGTTTATATGTAGGGTAAGCTAGCATGTTATGCAACATTAGGCTAATGCTATTCTAACGGTATGCTAAGCAAGTACATGGAGCTGGTACAGAATTGGTACACAACAGTATTAAATATACTAAGTATTATATAAGCATTAGAAAACATGCATCAAAGAGATTTTGTAGAATTTCTTCTCAGTCATTGAATAGAGTAGTCATTAGAAGTTCTTTCAGCCAATGGAACTGCTAGGTGGACTTGATTCAATGGGCAGACTCAATTGTTCACGTCCACTCCTTTGTGAGATCCGGCGGTTGAATCTTGCACACTTCAGACCCCCATCCTTCGGCTGCTCTCCCTGAAGTTCATCGTCAACGTGCTGATATTTTATTTGAGTTATCAGACTCCAGCTGTGTTTTACAGGCCGCCACTCTGTCTTTCTCTCCAGACTCCATGGGTCACACAGGATACGGCCATGAGCCAGGCAGACGGACATCAGTGAAAACAATAGTACAGACTCCATACATCGAGCAGGTGCTAATTATGTCCTGTCGTAGTGTACCACTGCCAAGCAGCAGGGGAGCAATACATGTGATATCACACCGACTGCAAAGCCAAGCCGAATGCACACTTGAAAGGGAAGCCTGTTCGACTGATGCAAACTGCAGCCAAGTCCACTGGGAGTTGATGACTTGGGTTCAGAAGCTTAAAATCCGCATTTCAAAGCCGCTCAGTTGGTCACTGCTGACTTTGCAGGGTAGCACAGAAAGTGGATCTATTTTAAGACAACTTCAATGTCCATATGTTTTGCAGAAGCGTAAACGGCTCTCTACCCAAAGGCTGCAACTGACAGAAATGTTAAGCACCTAGGTGCTGTTTTCCATTTCTCCCAGGCAAAAGTAACATATTATTTAACTATGACTAATTCTGACATTTTGGAATGTTAGTGCAAGGCAAACCATTTGATATGTGTGATTAAAACAATTATGCATGTCAGGATCTCAAGAGGAACCTGGGCACAGGTCTTCAGAGCCTCCCTAATGGCTAATCTTTATCTTGCATTTAGGGGTCCCTCGAATTAAAGGGGTCATATGATGTTGCTAAAAAGAACATTATTTTGTGTATTTGGTGTAATGAAATGTGTTTATGCGGTTTAAGGTTCAAAAAACACATTATTTTCCACATACTGTACATGATTGTTTCTACTCTATGCCCCGCCTTTCTGAAACGCATTAATTTTTACAAAGCTCATCGGTCTGAAAAGCGAGGTGTGCTGATTGGCCAGCTATCCAGCGCGTTGTGATTGGCCGAATACCTCAAGCGTGTGACGGAAATGTTACGCCCTACCATACTGTGATGCCCTGTCAGGCCGGAGCGACGAGACAAAAACATTAAAACCCATTATAAACGAGGCATTTGTTGCATCCAGTGGGGACATAATTACGGATTATAATGACTTATACTGTCTTTTTACACGTTGCATCGCGCCGCGTAAACATAAA